CCTACAGCCGTTTGTTGACCTACTCCTCCTCCCCTTACAACAGCAAAATAACCGATTGTTTCATGTTTCAGTCTAAAGGGTTGGCTTGATTGTCTTTGGTGATGTTATTGGAGCATGCTGGGCAGTGAGGAGCCTTCCTAAATGAGAATGGAAGATCCTGACGCCTCCAGAAATGGCAGGCGCTCTCTAAGCTAGACTGTCAGGACTCTTTAGAAGTTACCCCAGCAAGCAAGGCTTTCTCAGTGACCAAAACATTGAGGAAAGGGTGGGCCAAAGAGGCCATGTCCCAGTTCAGCCAGAGCACATGAGATCTTGGAGAGGAGCTGGGTCCAGGAACACTCTCTCATTTGTTGTTGCCTCTTTTTGTTACACAACTTATAGTGGCCGAGTTGCAAAGGAAGTAATGGAGTCGAGCGCCAAGATCAAACGGGAACCACCAGAAATACACAGGTAGGCTGCCAGGATCTTCCCTCAAAACCTGATCCAACTGCAATCCCAGAATCTCAAAAGATCCAGCAGCTGAAGCACTGTGACGCTCCTGGCCACGTGGCAACCAGAAAGGGCAGGAGGACAAAGACACCTGTCTTGGCTGACGGTACAGGGAAAAGTCTTTGGTTCCCGATGGAGAAAGAGGGAGGTAGGAAGGGCTATTTGTAGATGGTCCTAAGAACGAGGTCCCACCTCACTCAGTTGTCCTCTTCTGCCCACCTAAGTCCTGACAGTGACCTCAGGCCATGGGCAGTGAGTCAAGACAGCAAGGTTTCATTGGTTCTGGAATCAGTCCTTGCAGAAACCTGGGGAGAGCCTTAGAGGCCTGCCACACTGTCTAAGTGGTCTCAAAATCCATGCTTCATGTAGATCCAAAAATCATGCACTTCTAAGAACTTACCTCCTAGAGCCCAGTAAGACTCAGAAAGAATATGATTGACCAAGGCTAGGATCCGCGTGCCCGCCATTGCCTGCCCCTTCACACAGAGCCCCTGCCAGGGAAAGCTGCCAGTATGGGGCTTTTTCAGGAGCACTGCTCAGGCTCAAACTCAGCTCCCTGAAAGTCGTGCCCCTGAGACCAGGAGTATGGATGCCACACTAAAGACAGTGCTGGGTGGGCCAGGAGGGGAGGGAGTTTCAAGTGATGTCTATGACTGGGATCCAGGGACCAAAGGCAAAGAGAAGCTATTAATTTTTTTTTTGCTGGGCCAGCAGGTGGCATAGTGGTTAAGGTGCTGGACTCCCACATGGCTGACCATGGTTTGAGTCCTAGATTTAGTGACTTAAAACTCACGCCAGGCACACGTGTGTGTGTGTGTGTGTGTGTGTGCGTGTGTGTGTGCGCGTGCCCAAAATCCCACAAGGAGGATGGAGAAGGGACTGCAGTTTGGCCATCCCCCTGGGGGTTATTTCGTGCTTTCTATCTCTCTGTCTGTCTCTCTGGCATGTACACGTTCTTACAGCAAAAAAACTCTCTCAAAAATTTTTTGTTGTTAAAAAGACCAAGACGGGAACAGCAGGTGGCATGGTGGTTAAGGTGCTGGATTCCTGCATGGCTGACCACAGTTCGAGTCCCAGACCTGGTGGTCTGCTTTCTTACTTTACCTTTCTCTGTGTCTCTCTGGTCAAATTAAAAATAATAATAATAAATAAATAATAAAAAATTTTAAGAGAGTTTTGCTATAGGGTACATGTGCTCACCAGAGAGACAAAGACAGAGAGACAGAAAATGAGAAATCACTCCCCAAGGGGATGGCCACGCCACAGCCCCATCCTCTTGGGATTTTGGGCAAACACACACATGCACTCAGTGTGAGTTTTAAGCTGCCGTATCTGGGACTCAAACCGTGGTTAATTACATCGGAGTCCCAGGGAGGCAAAGCATTAATGGCACAAAGAGGTGTGGTATTATCTGTTGAAGATATTTCGTAGTTTTATCAACAGTACTAGGGAGAAATGTTCACCTGTTGAAATATCCACTTTGTAAGACAAATAATAATGTGATTGAATGTATGGAAGAAAATGAAATGAAAAAAATAAAAGAAAAAAAAATAAAGGGGAAAAAAATTATATCAGAGTCCAGCAACATAACCATTACGCCATTTGCAGGTCCAATAAAATAATTCTTTTTAAAAAAGGGGGTGGGGGAACAGCAGATGGCGTAATGGCTATGTCACTGGACACCCATGTAGTTGACTGCGGTTCTAGTCTCAGACCTGGTGGCTTAAACTCACGCCGGGCGCACGTGCACGTGTGCCCAAGATCCCGAGAGGAGAACAGAGGAGAAGGGACTGTGGCATGGTCATCCCCCCTGGGGGGAGGGGATTTCTCTCTTGCTGTCTCTCTGTCTCTCTCTGTTTCTGGTGAGCACACGTGCCCTATAGCAAAAACCTCTCCACCCCCAAAAAAGACCAACACTTAATATAGCCAGGCAACTGAACTCAGTGCCAAGTCCCCACCACATCTGCCTGTGCACTGAGTTAACAAGGTTCTCTTTCTCTTTAACCTCAGAGCTGGGATGGTTCCCAGCCGGAGCTGTCCCTCCATAACCCATGGCCCAAGGCTGAGCAGCGTCCCCAGGACCCGCAGAAGAGCTGTTCACATCTCCATCATGGAAGGTGAGCATGAACTCCTGGGGATGACCCCTGGGTTCCTCTCCAAGGACCTGGAAAGAAGCTCATTTGCATTAAACACAGCAACAAGTTTGTGGGGGGGAAGCAGTAGCAGGAAGAAGACTTTACCCAGCAGATGCGAATACCAGTTGGGTAGAAAGTGAGGAGTGTTCCCCAGGCCTGCTGCGCCGTAGGCCAGGGTGGGGGCTTGTGGGTGTGGGAGTGTTAGACTGGCCCTTTGGGAGACTTATGTATGTGAGGTCTAGGTTCCACATAGCTCTGAAATTGCTTTTTTAAGATTTTTAAGATCTGACAAATCTCCACACCTGGAATGATCAGGTGGGCCGAGACAGGTAACTAAGAAATGAAAACTTGGTTCTGAAGCATTCCAGTAGCTGCCACTGTCTCCCCCGTGAGTTGCAGCATCTGTCCTGTTGCTATCTGAATTCCTCAGCACTGTCTCAGGAACCCGGTATGTTCCGTCTCTCTACCTGCCCCTCCCTTCAGAGGAGGGAGAGGTGAGGAGAGAAACTCTGTCTTTGCTGAACTACTGAGTCATCAGAAAAGTCATGGCACATCTTTGCATAGAAAAAATACATCATGACTTTTCCGACGACCGATACCACAACCACCACAACAGCCGAGGCCAAGGGCCTCTGTCCTCCAGGTCGTTCATACCGTTAGGAGATGCTCTTGGAATATTGCCCTCTGGTGCCACCACTGACCCAGCAGGCCTGCAGGCTGCACGTGGGCGTGAAGCTGACGGCTTTCATTCCTGAAGATGGTTCTGTAAGACCTGAACAGTAGGACACAGCGGCAGGATTGTTTCAGACCTCTCTCTTTGGGGATTAATGGGATGAAAGCTGGGGAGGGAAGGGCCTTTGCCCTTTCTGTGGCAATGCTGCTTGGTGGTGACAATAAAGAATTACTCCAGTTAGAAAGGACATGGCTCTGCTATTCCCTCGGGAGGATCTCTGGTTTGTGCTGAGGACCTTAAGATGTGTCACTGTGAGTGTGAGACTCCACCTCACTGGAATATGATATATAACGAAAACTGTCCAGGGTAGAGAACCCTGCCTGCTGCCTGGACAACCATCATCAAGATCATTAATTGTCTGAGTATCTTTCTTTTTATTTTTAAATTTAATATTTACATATTTTATTTAGTATTATTTTAATTTGCTATAGGGCATGTGCATTCACTAAAGAGCGAGCGAGAAAGCAAGCTGCCAGGTCCAGGACTCGAACTGTGGTCAGCCATGTGGGAGTCCAGCACCTTAGTAACCATGCCACCTGCTGGCCCCAAACTAGTAATTCAGGAAGATCTTCCTTGCTTACCCACAGGCTGAGAGGAAGTGAATATATGCAGGACTTCACAGAGATGAAATAACCCACTAAGCAGCAGCAAGCACGGCGAAAGGAGCCCTGCTCAGGGAGGCAAAGACAAGGTTCGCATCGGAGCTCCACCGTGCACTTCCCAGCCAGGCTGCTCAGCCTCTGTGCCTGCCCCACTGCGGGATGGAGCACGAGTTGGGAGCGTGCCTTGTGAGCTACCAAGAGCAACTGCTGTGCCAGGCACGCGCTGCCACAGTCTGACCATCACAGATTCCTGGTTTCCCCTCCCGTCTCAGGCTGAGCTAGAGAACTTAGCATGGCACCTGAGGTCCTGTCCTTCAGAGTGCCCGTGTCAGGAGAGTGGAATGCATTTCTTCCCTTTTGAGGACATAAAACTTTCTCCCCTCCCTGTGTCCCTTCTTCCCATCCATCCCAAGGCTGAGCCAGCAGGGTCATCCCAAGACTCCTGCAAAGAGTGGCCCCTGGGGGAGCTGGCACTAATGCAAAGTATACAGTTACCTCATGCAGGTCTACCTCCTGGGATACGCAGGAGTGTCCAGCAAAACCAGCATTCCGAGAAGGGGGAAGGCAAAGGCCATCTGTGTGGGGAGCAGCTGCTGGGTGGGATGAGCAGAGCGGCTCAGAGGCAGGAACAGTCCTTGTGTCCCTCCAGGACAGGCTGTGAAGCTGCCTCAGTCCCTGACCCAGCTCTGGCTTTACCTTGGCCTCCTCCCAACCCCTCGTCGCCCAGTGCAGCAGCGGTTTCCTCATCGGGGCTCTCAGCCTTGCCTGCAGAATGCTGAGGAGGGAGCAGGGGGAGAGGCTCCTTAAGGCCAGGGTGCCCCTCGTGCCAATCACCCGGCCCACCTGCACCTCTCATGCCAAGCCTGTAGGCTCCTCACAGCCTCTCTCCAGGCATGGCCCTCGGGCAGGCACCGTTAGGCACAGGTGTGGGTGGGTAGAAGCCACAAAGCACTGACCCTGCCGTCCGAACCTCATAAGCTCGGGGAGGAGGAAAGGGAGATGAACGTGATTTAACTGTGAAAAACATTAAATGGTTTTGTCAGCACAGGACCAATCAAACCTGTGGAAATAAAGAATGGATTATTTGGAGCCGGCAGGTGATGTGATAGTTAAAGGTGGGGGTAGGGGGAATTTCGTTTCTTTTTTTTTTTTCTTTTTTGGAGAGGTTTTTTTTAGCTATAGGGCACATGCGCTCGCCAGAAAGACACAGAGAGACAGACAGAAAGCAAGTAATCATCCCCCAGAGGGGACGGCCATGCCACAATCCCCCTTCCTCCATTCTCCTCTCAGGATCTTGGGCACACACGCACACACACCCGGCACAAGTTCAAGCCACCGGGCAGGACTCGAACTGCGGTCGACTACATGGGAGTCCAGCAACATAGCCATTACACTAACTGCTGGTACATCGACTTCTGCGTGACCGTCGGGCCCGGGGGGGGGGGGAGTGATTTCTCATTTTCTGTCTCTCTCTTGCTCTCTGGTGAGCACACGTGCCCTATAGCAAAAATCTCTCTTAAAATTTTTTTGTTACAATAATCCATTGTCCATGAAGTGAGAGAGCAGCTGTACCATCTCTCAAGAGGGAGTTTAGCCGTTAAAAGTTTTAACAAACATGGCTGACCCTAGCTGCCCACCCCAGCTAGGCAGGAAGGGGCTGTGAGGGATACGATAAGAGCCTGCAAGGAAGGGCGCAAATACCGAAGCTGAGGAGCGCGGTGGTGCCTGCCCTATGGCAAAAACTGCTGGAGACGGAGGACTGCGGCATCGAGCCCATCCCTGGTCTCTCTATTTGTCTCTCTCAAATACTGAAGCTCCAAGGAATATGGTGGTTAGGATGCTAGACTCCCATATGGCCAACCAGTTTGAGTCCTGGATCTGGCGACTTGCTTTCTCACTTCTCTCTTTCTGGCTCTCTCTGGTAAGCGCATGTGCCCTATGGTAAATTAAAAATAATAATAATAAATAAAATTAAATAACTTTTTTAAGTGGCTCATGAAAGATTGTCCCTCCTGTAGACCATACAGCCCATAGATTAGTATCAAGAAACCACTTGGTCCAGGAAGGAAGTTTTGTTTTTCTCTAAAAACAATGGTAAAAAAAATTTAAAGACATTTAACATAGCATCACATTTGAATAAAGCCACATAATCCCATTGGACTGGGATCCTTAAAAAAACGATTCAGAACTGCAGGCCAGCAGGTGGCATGGAGGGTAAGGGGTAAAGCACTGGATCTCAGTGGCGGCTACACAATTCAAGTCCCGGACCAGCAGTTTAAGAATCATGCTGTGGGGACCAGCAGTTAGTGCAATAGCTATGTTGCCGGACTCCCATGTAGTTGACCGCGATTCAAGTCCTGGACCCGGTGGCTTAAACTCACACCGGGCGCGTGTGCGTGCGTGCCCAAGATCCCGAGAGGAGAATGGAGGAGAAGGGATCGTGGCGTGGCCATCCCCCCCTGGGGAGTGATTTCCTGCTTTCTGTCTCTCGGTATCTGTCTGTCTGGTGAGCGCATGTGCCCTATAGCAAAAACCTCTCCAAAAAAAAAAAACACAAACAAAAAAATCATGCTGTGTGCATGTGCATGGCATGTCCAAAATCCCAAGAGGAGACGAGACTGGAGAAGGGATTATGGCATGGCCATTTTCCCTGGGGGGCTGATAATCTCTCTCTCTCTCTCTAGTGAGCACATGTGCCCTGTAGCAAAAAACTAAAAAAAAAAAAAAAAATCAGAATTGTGTAGCCCTCCCCTCTGCTCTCAGGCATGCCATAGGCATCATTACCACAGGCCTAACCCAGGTATGTCAGTTTCTTCGGCCCATCATGCCCTCTGGGGCACTACCCAGCAGCAGGGGGCCGGGTGGTGTAGCGCCAAGCAGAGGATGGGACACAGCCTAGTTGCAGAGCCATCCCACCCAAAGCTAGTGCTGACCCCATTACTTCACTGACACCAGGTCAGACCTATAACATATGTGCCCTGAAACAAGTCCAGTGTTTCTGTACCTTTACATTCTGGGTTTTCTGGGACAGTACTGATTCCCCTGCCTGCTGGGCTTGTTCTCTGCCCTCTCTGTCCCTCACCCTGAGAGGCTAGGGACCTTATACGGGCCTCAGGAAAGAGCCACAGGCTGGAGAAGCATGACTTTTTATGGTTCGAAGTGCTCCTGACGGCATCCATCCAGCCCCTGATAACACTGGCTCTCAGAGCTGCAGATCTGAGACTCAGGACTGCTCTCCAGCACGGGAGGCTCGGCTACGGGGCTGTGATGGTGCAGGATCACTGAAAAGCCTTTGGGCCTGGCTGTCCTTCCATCCATTTCCTGACTCTATCTCCCCTGCCTGGCTGGTTTCTGCTGAAGTCTCTGCCTTCTCGGCCTACCATGGGGAAGAGTCTGATCACGATTCATACCAGAGTCCACGTTCAGCTCCGGTTGACTAATCACTGCTTTCGGCCTCTAAGTGTGCGCATCCTGAGGATGGGGCCCCGGCTCCGGGGGAGGGTCCTGACTGTGCCCTGCGGCCCACTGGGAGCCACCTCTGGGCGAGGGAGTCAGCTGGAGCACCTCCCAGGTAAAAGTCACTCCCCTGCTTTGCCATGCCACTCAGCCAGATTGGCGCCCCAGCTCCCACCTCCATCCCAGACAGCAGGTTTGATGAAGGGGTGGGGCAAGTCGTTTCTACAGTGAAAGCTGGATTTCTTTCACAGGACTAACCTGCCAGGGAACGGCAACTCAGAGGTGAGGTCTGAGACTAACATTTACTGAGGCTCTGGCTTGGTTGGGTATTCTACCAGAAACGCAGAGCCACCCATCACCCTATGTACCGGGAGCACCCACAACGCGACATAGCAGGGCTCTCGCGACCTTCCGACTTGTCCTTCTGTTGTCACCGCCTCTGCCGCTCTTCTCCCCAGCAAGCCTGGGGCCGGCACTGCAGTGGCTGGTGGCAGCTAGGCCAGTCATGCTCGGGAAATGCTGGCAGTCTGAGCTGTCCTGATGAGGGCAGGCCTCTGAGAGGGTGCCAGGTGCGGGGGGCGAGCTGTTCCAGAGAAGGGGGCAGAGGAACGCTTGGGAAAGGAGGCAAGCCAGAGACGCGCTGCGACCAGGCCCTTAAGGTTTCTGTCTTGTCAGTGACCCCGACGCGCTCCAAGGAATACAGTCCTCGCGCTGCACGTGCAGAGGAGGTGCTCAGGAGGGGACACTGGGTAATTCAAAGAGCCAAGCAGCTCTGCAACAAGGGACGGGAGCTCGAACACCCTGTCACTGCACAGCAGTTCTCGGTAACAGACTGAAAGCTAAGGCCAGTGTGGCAGGTCACTCACTCACTCCATCGCCCCACTCCCCGGAATCCAACTACATGATCAATGGCATCGTGAATAGAAACAGGAAGTGGCTCAGCCTCTCTCCGTGGCTTTGCCATTAACATCCAGCCACGGGACCTCAGGCAAGTTCTGTAAATTCGTGCCCTTAATACTCATGGAATTGTTGAAAGAATGTTTCGAAAGGTTAAAACAAACTAAATAATAAAATAAAAAGATTCAAATGTTATATAAACTTAAGATTTTAGCTAAGGGGACAGACAGAAGACAGCGAGGACCACAAGGAGCTCCTGCAAGAAGCTGAGCGCTGTGGCAGATGTGCCAACGGTGAAGTGAGGGGGAACGTGGGTGGGAAGCAGGTGCCCTGCAGGTGCCATCACCCTGTCCCCACCCTGCTCCTACTCATTCATAACCCAGATTCGACAGAATCCTTAACTGTGCCTATGGCGAGACGGGCCCCTCACTGCAGGGCTGGCCAGGCAGACGGCCGGGACACACATGACCAAGTCACAGGGAAGCCGAGGAAGAGGAGACAAGCTACTTCTGACTGACACTTTTTTTTTTTTTTTTTAAGGTTTTTGCTATAGGGTGCATGTTCTTGCTAGAGAGAGAGAGAGGAAAAGTGAGAAAGCAATCCCCAGGGGGATGGCCACATTGTAGTCCCCTTCTCCTCCATTCTCCTTTTGGGACAATGGGCATGCACACACACATGCCCATCATGAGTTTTAAGCTGCCAGGACTGGGACACGAACCACGATCGACCATGTGGGAGTCTAGCGCCTTAACCATCATGCCAACTGCTGGCCCCCTGACACCTTGAAAGAGACCTTTGGGTTTCTGAAGCTAGCCTTGAACCAAAAACCTCCCTAATTAACCCTAGTTAAGTCAGACTTTCGGGACCAGCAGTTACTATAATGGCTATGTTGCTGGACTCCCATGTAGTCGACTGCGGTTCGAGTCCTGGACCTGGTGGTTTAAACTCACGATGGGTGCGTGTATGTGCGTGCCCAAGATCCCAAGAGGAGAATGAAGGGACTGCGGTGTGGCCATCCCCCCTGGGGGGTGACTTCTTGCTTTCTGTCTCTCTGGCAAGTGCACATGCCCTATAGCAAAAAAAAAAAAAAAAGGAAAAAATAAAAGGCTTTCACTGAGCTGGGAGTCTGGTTCAGTCTGGGGCTGCCAGGATCTATCAGCAACAGAAGGGGACAGGCTTTTCTTGTAACAGACTACAGAGGCCAGGGGAGCCACGCTGGCACCATCCAGACAGCAGGCGTAGGAAAGGCAGTTACTGAACCTGAAGCACGAAGCCATGTCTGGGAACCCTGCGAACGGGCGAGCCGCTCCGCACTGGGAGCACGGGCTCAGGCTGCTGTGGGAGAGCAGGAGCGGCCGTCGTGCCCTGTGAGAGCCTTGGGAAGAGAAATGTTTCGTCTGAGAAAGAAAAGAGACGTGCATCTTCCTAGCAAGACCTTCTCACAGACTGCTTTGTGCTCTGGAGTACTGAGGGACTCGAGGGCTGTCAGCCCAGTCTAGAGCCAGTGATCCAGCTCCTTCGAAGGTGAAGGGAGAGGGAGCTGGCCAGGGACTACCCCCTTCTCCACCAGAAAACACCAAGGAGCGCAGAAAGGGTTTTCACCTTCCCACAAGGTCACAGCAGCTGGAGGCTGAAGAGACAGAGCGACCAGAAATCCGGGAGACGGACCTCCTGAGTGCCAGGCGCCGCCCGCGGGATGTCACGAGGCCACTCGCTGGTATTTGAGAGTCAGTCATTGATGAAGCCCAGCGAGGCCAGACACGTTCTTCTCCCCATCCCTGCCTGTCTGGGCCAGCCCTCTGCCCAAGAGGCAGACTCGAGGCCTCTAAATTGTGGCCTCAACTCTGCAGCAGGGACAATATGACTCAGAGTCTTTCAAATGGGGGTTAAAATCAGGCCCAGGACACCAAACACAGGCAAGGTAGAATCTGTAACAGGTGAGGCCAATGCCACAGGCACAAATGTAAAAAACTAAACTTCCAAAATAGTCACCCTTTGGGCCGGCAGGTGGCATGGTGGCTAAGGGTGCTAGACTCCCACGTGGCCAACCATGGTTTAAGTCCCAGACCTGGTGGCTTGCCTTCTCACTTTCCCTCCCTCTCTCGCTCTGTCCCTCTAAATTATTAAAGTTAAATAAAATGATTCTTTAAAAAAAAAAAGTCACTGATATTTGCTGCTTCTCTTGTCCTATTCTTTTTTCAGTTTTGTCAGAGGGCACGTGCAGTCACCAGAGAGCGGGAATGTGAGAAAACGCCCTCTCTTCAGGATTTGGACACACAGGCACACACATGTACCTGGAGTGTGTATCAACCCACTGGGTCTGGGACTCAAACCTTCTAATCAGCCATGTGGGATACCACTGCCTTAAACACCATGCCACTGGCTGGGCCCCTCTCCTCGGTATATCGAAGTGGAGTGCAGCAGGCATGGTCACATGGGCGTGGCCATGTAGGGGTGGGGAGGGGCACCCATAAACCGAATGCACGCGACTGGGCAGCAAGTGTGCACTGAAGCCCATTTGTTCCTTTTGCCTTCCCAGGCCTCGAGTCCCTGCGAGACAGCGCCCATTCCACCCCGGTGCGTTCCTCTTCCCACGGGGATACCTTCCTGCCTCACGTGAGAAGCAGCCGGGCCGACAGCAACGAGCGAGTAGCAGTGATTGCGGATGAGGCCTACAGCCCTGCAGACAGCGTGCTGCCCACCCCTGTGGCCGAGCACAGCCTGGAGCTGATGCTGCTTTCCCGGCAGATTAATGGAGCCACCTGCAGCATCGAGGAGGAGAAGGAGTCTGAGGCCAGCACCCCGACAGCTGCAGAGGTGGAGGCCCTTGGGGGAGAGCTGAGGGCCCTGTGTCAGGGGCACGGCAGGCCAGAGGAGGAACAGGTGAATAAGTTTGTTTTAAGTGTCCTCCGTTTGCTCCTTGTGACCATGGGACTCCTCTTTGTTTTGCTCCTCCTCTTGATCATCCTTACAGAGTCTGACCTTGACATTGCCTTTTTCCGCGATATCCGCCAGACCCCTGAGTTTGAACAATTCCACTATCAATACTTTTGTCCCCTCAGGCGATGGTTTGCCTGCAAAATCCGCTCAGTGGTGAGCCTGCTCATTGACACCTGAGAAGGCCTGACTCCTCCCAATAACTAGCCAGGTGGATCAAGGAGCCCGGCTACCCATTCCCAGCAATGGGACCCATCGCGGAACCATCGGCACATATACCAAGTCCTACTCTCATGACTCAAAGTCCACTGCAGCCTAGGAAGGTTGTTTCCCAGAAGAGGAAAGGGATAGGCTCATGCCCTGTCTAAACAAACTGGGAAAACTCACTTTCTTCAGAGGTTCTTTCAAGAAAGGCTCAGCAACTCTGTTTCTCATTCTTCTGATTTGCAGGATAATTTTTGGTTTTGAATTTTGATTTTTCATAGAAGTGTATTATTTTGAAAGTACCAAATAAAAAATAATTTATTTTACTATTACTGATTATCGCAGTGGTGTCACCTAGCAGGTGGGACACTACAGAGCGGAGAGCTGTTGTCCTCTGTACTCTGCAGCAGCTTTGCCACCAGTGCTACTGGGTTCCAGCAGACTCTTCACTGCAGTCTCAGTGGGGCAGGCCGGGGGTCTGGACAACGGGAGCTGTTGAGGTTTTCTTGCCAGACAGAACTTTTTAAAAAGTAACCACCATGTAGAATGATTAAATGGAAAGTTGATTCTTATGCTGGTCTGAGTTGGATTTTCTTTCCCTTTTGTTTTTTCAAATCTGAGCAGAGTGGGCATCTGAAGGGACCACCGCTACAGCAGCAGCAGCAGCAGGGGTGGGGTAAGTCTGTCCCTTTAGACTAGAGCCTAGTGGGCATCGCTACGAGTTTTGTATACTGAACTTAGATTTCTGTGATTTTCTTTTTTTTTTCTGAAGAACCTCAAGATTTTTATAGCATTCTGGGGCGTTAAATGAAGTCAGTGATGCCAGAGATAGTACTGTCAGAAATGTCGGACAAAGCGTAGCTAACAGAAGCCAGAGTTAAGTTACCTGAGAGACTGTTGAGATTCAGAGAGCAGTGATTATTTTGTAAACTCCCGTGCCCCTCAAAAAAGACTATTTCAATTTATATTTTAACAACAAAATGTTATTTTCTTATCAATTCATATTTTGTTTTTACTTTATGGATTAAGAAAATAGAACCTGATGAACTAAACGATGCAAGAAAGAAACTGATCCTGAGAGTGAAAAGCTTCAGAAAATAGAATTCCAAGATCAACAAACAGCCTTGGAAGGGACCAGGAAAAGAATCTCTTTAAATAGGATTTCTAAGAGATGTCTACAAAAGACAGAAGGTGAACGTGGCAGAGACCAACACTTAGATGTAGAAATGCTGCCCCCTAGGGTCATCCTCTGCTTCAGGAAAATCAGTTCTAGGAAAGCACTTGCCATCCGTGCTGAGGGGAGCCCTGGAAGCACAGGCACATGAAGGGTGAGTGTGGGGTCCTAGGCCCGAGCTCTGCAACTCTTGAGACCAATCTCACACAGATCTTGTTTTCATCTCAGGGAGACATTTCTAAGTCATCTGGGGCCTGAGGACTGATTCAAGGACAGTCAGTGGACATATTCCTGGGACCCACACAACAGTGAAGCGGCTACTGACACCCTATGATTCTGGTCAGCCCCAAATCAGGACAGAATGAGTCACTTGTAAATTTGGTCTCTCCTATTTTGTCCCCTGAGATAGTAGAACATGTCCATGTTTAGAATGTAACAGTTGTGGGGTAATTGGAGATTTGGGGGCTGGGGGTGCGAAGAAACGTGCATAATTTTAAAGAAAGTCATTCTTTCATCTAGACCAGGGGTCAGCAAACTTCTGTAAAGCACCAGACAGTAAATATTTTTTACATTTGGTTTTGCGGGCCATACTCTGTCACAACTATTCAACTCTACCGTCATAGCACAAGAACAGCCATAGATAATACAAAAGTGAAGGAACATGGCTGATTTCTAATAAAGCTTTATTAAAAACAGCTGGTGAGCTGACTTTGGCCACAGGCCAGAATATGCCATACCTGACCTAGACAGTGACACTGATCCTGACCAGTATGTCAGCAGAAGAGAGTCGGCTCTGCTCCAGTTTCTGACACGTGTGAAGGAGCTAGGATCATTTCCCAGTGGAGACACTGGGACTGCTTGTTTAAAGGGTGCTCGAACAACCAACCAGCTGAGATGTCTGTACCAAGTGAGCAGGGTCAAGTACCAGAATGCTAAAACACGGCCAGGACCTGAGAAGGGAAGAGGGCCTACCTGATCATGTTCATACCAGCAACAATTTGGGCAGAATTATAAACATCTACTTATCTAGTGACAAGACAGAGGGAGATCCCAGTAAAGATTAGGGATCACTTAAAACCAACTAGCCACTGCCACTTGTCATCTACATAGCAAAGGCTTTATTTAGCACAGGCCTGAAGTGAAGGAGACCTGGAGATGGAAAGGCTGTCAGGAGACGGGGACTGGCGTTAGCCTGGACATCTACTGTCTTATGCAACATAGCAGATTACCTTTTAGTGTAGTGCTCCTACCTCAGTCTGTAGATACGGTGTTTCTATGCAGTGAGTGCTAGCCTCAACTCGGACCTTTCGTATTCTCATTAGAGAGATGCAGTATTCCATTTCCCGGTATGTTACTCGTGTCTAGAGTTGTAGTCCATGCAGCTGAATTTCCAGCAGCTAAATTCTCTCTGAACAGAAACTTTCTGACTACTTGTTTTTTTATTCCAGGGCTTATCCCAGAAAATATGGGTAGAAACGTTTCCATCGGTTTGCTTTTCAAATAGTGCTTGAATAACAAACCTCCTTTGTTGGCGACTAGTCCTTTTCGGTATCTCCCTACCATTAAAAACTGTTCGTGTTTTTAACCTGGTTTTACTGTGTTCTATGTCTCTCCTTTTCTCTCAAGATTAGTTTATCTCATTGTAGAAAAAGCAATGGTTTCCATAGCTTCATCTATCAGAGGAACTAAAACTCTTACTAAAGAATAGTGTACTGCATCTTTAAGCAGTAGAGGGTAAACTACCTGCAAATGTGAATTTCTTAGTTTCATTAAAAAATATATAGTTGTTAACCTTTCGTGTGCCAAAAATTCTAAGTTACATTTTCCTTCAAAGCAATGTACTTTTTTCTACATATGCAGTATGTAGTTAGCATAAAATCATTGGTGCCATGAAGATTATTTTTAAACTTAAATAAATATTTAAATATCATAGAAGAGTGGGCTCTTTCTTTTATCATTTATAGCCATGTCTCACTTTTTCCCCTCTTAAATTTACCAGTATGCGGATAAATGAACATCAGTGGGACTCACTGCTGTTCACAACTGGGGTCATACGGGATAACCGTCCTGCTGGTATTCATTACCCTGTCCGTCCCCCAAAATGGGTACTATTAGGACTAAGAAGCTATAAATGTAGGATAGTTTTAGAAATGAAGTGGATCTCATTTTTCTGATGAGGCAAACCAAGGTCAGGTGATTTTTTTTTGCCCAAGTTACATAGTCTTAGAATCCAAACCAGCTTTTAGTCCAGTTCTTAATCCTGAAGTAAACAGAACAAGAGGAAAAACTTCCTATGAAGAAAGTAAAATGACACCACCACCACAGTAAATGGTAAATCTCATACTTGCAATTTACAAAACATACTTCTGGGGACCAGCAGATGACATAATGGTTATATTGCTAGACTTACATGTAGTCGATCGCAGTTCGAGTCCCAGACCTGGGAGCTTAAAACACACTGGGTGCATGTGTGTGTGTGTGTGTGTGTACCCCAAATCCCAAGAGAATGGAGAAGGGATTGTGGCGTGGCCATCCCCCATGGGGTGGCTTTCTCACTTTCTGTCTCTGCCTCTCTGGTGAGTGCACACGCCCTATAGCAAAAACCTCTCTTGAAAAGAAAAAAAGATTAAAAAAACCTTCTGTGACCTCTCATCTGGTCATGTGACCATTACTCTGTAGCTACACAAAGAGTTGGTAATGGCCTTCGAAAAGCCTGGTCCACTATACCAGCTTATTATCGCATCTTCCTGTTTTCAATTTTCCCTGCCCTTCAATCCTCCACTCTGTTGTCAGGTCACCTTTCTAAATCAGTTTATATCACTCCCTTGTAAATTTTTAGAGGTTCCCCTTACCTACACAATGATAGCCAGTGCCTTAGCCCCAGTGGAGTCGTTTGTTTTAAAGAATTTTATTTATTTCACTTTGACCAGAATGAGAGAGGGAGAGAGGGAAAGTGACAAAGCAAGCCACCAGGTCCAGGACTTGAACCATGGTCAGCCATGTAGTAGTCCTGCACCCATAACCACCACATCACCTATTAGCCCCTTTTGTTTTTATGACAAAGGTCTTTGCTTAAGTGATCTGAAGAGCAAAAAGCATAAGAACCACTGGACTCAGGTAGTTTCCCACAGCCCTACAGCTTTATAGCAATCTCCTTCAGCTAATACCCAATCGAGAACTTGCCTATGCACACACGCTTGTGGGACTCTAGCTCCCACTCCCTCTACTCGGACTTCCTCAAGCACGACCAAACCCCTCTGTACCTGAACACACTTTTGGTTTTAGTTCATAAACAGGCTTTCTCTGCAGACCACTACAACATGCTGACAACACTTTCAATATATTTCCTCTTCACAGCTTCCATTCTGGGAAAAGGTACCTTACAATGTTTTACTCCTCAGCTCTGTGAAACTGTGCTCAATGTTATCTTCCTCATGTAAGTCCACCTTTTCATTTGAAAATCCAGACATTTACAGCCAAATGAGCAATTATATGGTCTTGGAGCTAAACTTAAACTAACCATCATCACCATACTAGAGCAGGTGGTAGGGAGGGGAGCGAACTAAGTCAGAAGGGACAGTAACTAAACAGGACACCTACATTTTGGGAATCTGAAGTCAGAGGGCAGGTACTTTGATTCAGAAGACACGTGTCTTCCCCAGCTCTACCCTTGTACTGTGTGCTGGCTGCAAAGATTTAAATCTTTGTATCCACAGACTTCAAGCTCCCTGCTTTCCTCGAGAATTTCTTTGCAAAAATCTTCTCTAAGGAAAGGAAACTCAAAGGCCAGAAAACAGTCACACATAACTTCACAACAGAGATACATTCTAAGAAATGCATCATTAGGCAATTTCATTTTTGTGCCAATATGAATATACTTCCACAAGTCTAGTGGTATAGTGTACTATATGCCCAGGTTATCTGGTACAGCCTACTGCTTCTAGGCTACAAACCTGTACAGCATGTGCTGAATACAGTGGGAAATGCTAACATGATGGTATTTTATGTTTCTAAACATAGACAAAGGACTGTAAAAACAGATGTGATTTTTCTGTTTTTAGAGAGATTTTTGCTAGAGGTGCATGCATTCGCTGGAGAGGCAGAGAGGGAGAACTCACCCCCTAGAGGGAATAGTCACACTGCAATCCCTTCTTTTCCATTCGCCTCTTGGGATTTTGAGCGTACATGCACACATGCCTGGCCTGAGTTTTAAGCCTCCAAGTCTGGGATTCAAACCACGGTCAACCATGTAGGAGTCCAGCACCTTAACCACTACACCACCCACTGGCCCCGAGAGTATAAGAGGTTTTTATTGTTTTTTGGGGGTTTTTTTTGAGAGGTTTTCGGTATAGGGCGCATGCGCTAGCCAGACAGAGAGAGACAGAGAGACAGAAAGCGAGAAATCACCCCCCAGGGGGGATGGCCACACCGCAATCCCTTCTCTTCCATTCTCCTCTCGGTATCTTGGGCACGCATGCACACGCGCCCGGCGATTTAAGCTACTGGGTCCAGGACGCGAACTGCAGTCGACTACGTGGGAGTCCAGTGACATAGCCATTACGCTAACAGCTGGTCCCAAGGATAACAGATTTTAAAATGGTACATCTCTATGGAGCACATACCATGACTGGAGCTGGCAGAACTGTAAACTGCGCTAGGTGAGTTGGTGAGTGAGTGGTCTTGAGTGTGAAGTCCTAGGACATTACTGCATACTCCTGTAAATTTTATAAACATTGTATACTCAGGCTATGTAAAAAATATTCAAAAATGCATTTTTCTTTCTTCAATAAACTAACCTTAACTCTAACTTTTTAACTTTATAAACTTAATACTATTTGACTCTTCTGAAATAACACTTAGCTTAAAACATACATTGTATAGCTGTATGAAATATTTTCTTGGGACCAGCAGTTAGCGTAATGGCTATGTCGCTGGACTCTCACATAGTCGACTGCCATTCGAATCCCGGACCCGGTGGCTTAAACTCACGCCCGGCACGTATGCGTGCGTGCCCAAGATCCTGAGAGGAGAATGAAGGAGAAGGGATTGTGGCGTGGCCATCTCCTCTGGGGGAGTGATTTCTCGCTTTCTATCTCTCTGTCTCTGTCTGTCTGTCTGGCGAGCGCACACGCCCTATAGCAAAAACCTCTCCAAAAAAAAAAAGAAAAGAAAAAAAAAGAAAAAATATTTTCTTTATATCCTTATTCTTTTTTTAAATAATTATTTTATTTAATTCACCATTATTTTTTTAACTTGAGATCAGAAACAGAGAGTGAGAGAGAGAGAAAGCAAGCCACTAGGTCTAGGCCTCAAACCACGGTCACTCATTTGGGAGTTCAGTGCCTTAACCACCACATCCTTTTTATATCCTTAAGTTTTTAAAGTTTTTTCGATTTTTGGAACCAGCAGTTAGTGTAATGACTATGTCGCTGGACTCCCATGTAGTCGACCATGGTTCAAGCCCCGGACCTGGTGGCTTAAACTCATGCCAGGCGCGTGTGTGTGCATGCCCAAGATCCCGAGAGGAGAATGGAGGAGAAGGGATTGTGGCATGGCCATCCCCTGGGGGGTGATTTCTCACTTTCTGTCTCTCTCTTTCTGGCAAGTGCATGTACCCTATAGCAAGAACCTCCCCCCCCCATAAAAAAAAAACCCTCTTTTCTATTTTTAAGCTGTTTTTCTTTTAACTTTTTATACTTTTTTTTGTTAAAAATGAAGACACAGGCTGGCAGGTGGCATGCTGGTTAAGGGTGCTGGACTCCCACATGGCCGACCATGTAGTCCTAGATCTAGAGGCTTGCTTTCTCACTTTCTCTCTCTCTCTGTGTCTCTCTCTGGAAATATTAAAATAATAATAAAGTTAAATAATTGTTTTTAAAAAATGAAACACAAACACATATTAGCATTGACCTCCATAAGGCCAGGATTATCAGTATTAAGGTATGCTACTGCTACTTCTTGGCCAATGAAAAGACATCGTGAACAAAACAACACAATATTAAACTGGGCACAAGAGAAGATGATGAAATCAAGAGAGTTGGAGCCTGTTGATAGTATACAGGGTAATGCACCTGCACCTCCAAGAGGGGTCCTGCCTGGCTTCATGTGCTGGGACTGAGCATACTGGGTGCACTCATACGCTCATGACCCTGGCTGGCTGAGACTAGGGGTGAATCACAGCATGACCCTGTTGCATGTGCCTGTCTCTATCATGGAAGAAATAAATGAATAAATTTTGGGAAAAAAAAAAAGACTTAGTAAACATGAGATTTATGACACTGTTGCCAATGTAACATGGCATACTGTTTTACAGTAAACTTTATTTTTTTGTAAGTGGATGTATATGCTAAAACAATTGAAAGCATAATATGTAAATCAGCAGTACAGTCGTTTATCATTATCAAACATTATGTACTATAAATTATTTATGTGCAATTATTTTGCATTCTTTTTTGTTTTAGGGCACATGTGCTTGCCTGAGACAGAGAAATAAATCACCCCCAAGAAGGGATGGTCAATCACAGTTCCTTCTCCTCCAGATTTTGGATATGCATGCACACTCATCCAGTGTGATTTTCCAGCCACCGGGTCTGGGACTCAAATGGTACAGCTGGCCATGTGGGATCCAGCATCTTAACCTCCATGCCACCTACTGGCCCTATGTGCTATTCTTTCATACAAATGGCAGTTGGGTCAGTTTGCAACAGCATCACCAAAGACACATGAGTAGCGAACTGCAGTATGACATTACTACAACTATGTCATGACACACCAACTATGACAGGAAATTTTCAGCTCTGCTCTAACTGTATCGGACCACCATCATATATGTGGCCCACCACTGACCAAAACATCATTATGCGGTGCATTACTTACTAAAATAGGTTCCGTGCATCTGAAAGTCTAGTAACAGCAATTCAGATCCTATTGATTCCTAATTATCTGCAGTCTCCTAGTCTAAGTCTCTGTTCACTCAAAATGGGAATTGCCTGCTTCTTTCTTAAAGTCACATAATAAAAGACTGAGCATCTCAAAGAAGATAACCCAAGTACAATTCAGAGCTTGTGTGTTCAGCACATATATAGGCCAAACTTACAGAAAAGGTTTATCCTGAAGGAAGAGAGTAATCACAATACACACACAGTGATCACAGAAGTCACACAGCTGTAAGGAGTCTCCAGGAGAAGTATCTTTTGTTACAGAGTACAGTTTAAGAATGTCCTATGGAAGACAACTTTTCTTTATATGCTTTCTATGTGTAAACAATTATTCCAAGAAACAAGTCCCTACTCACCCCCCTTCCTTCCTACATTGCCTCAAGAATACTTAACTGTGTTAAGTGAAATTGGATACAAATAACACAGTTTATGAAGCTACAATGGCAAAAGAAACCATTGAAGAAACAAGAATTTGTGAACATTTATTACATAGGCCAGGCAATTGCCAACAAGCATTCAAAGCTTAAATGATGGTACTAATTTGAGAATTTCCAGCATCTTAAAAAAACAACAACAACAACAACAAAAAACATAGAACTAACTACTCTAGAACCTCTGAAAGTAACTAGTGTAGAAAAGGAAAGGGAGTCTGAAGCCTTCCTTTACTGTTTCCTGGACAGTATCATTTAATTTTGCCAGAGGGCACATATGCTTGCCAGCTAAGAGACAGAGGAAGAAAGCACCTCCCAGGAAGGTGTGGTCACAGTACAATCCCTTCTCCGCATCTCCATCCTGGTGGGATTTTGGACACACACATACACACACACACCTCCTCATTTCTCTATTCTGGTGGGATTTTGGACACAAACCTAGCATGTCCCTTAAGCCCCTACGGCCAGGATCCAACCACAGGGATGTCCATGTGGGATCTGTCTCCCTTAAGCACTAAGCAACAGCTGGCCCTGGTACACTTTAAATAGAACTCTGCCTCACCTACTGGCCCTATGTGCTATTCTTTCATACAAATGGCAGTTGGGTCAGTTTGCAACAGCATCACCAAAGACACATGAGTAGCGAACTGCAGTATGACATTACTACAACTATGTCATGACACACCAACTATGACAGGAAATTTTCAGCTCTGCTCTAACTGTATCGGACCACCATCATATATGTGGCCCACCACTGACCAAAACATCATTATGCGGTGCATTACTTACTAAAATAGGTTCCGTGCATCTGAAAGTCTAGTAACAGCAATTCAGATCCTATTGATTCCTAATTATCTGCAGTCTCCTAGTCTAAGTCTCTGTTCACTCAAAATGGGAATTGCCTGCTTCTTTCTTAAAGTCACATAATAAAAGACTGAGCATCTCAAAGAAGATAACCCAAGTACAATTCAGAGCTTGTGTGTTTAGCACATATATAGGCCAAACTTACAGAAAAGGTTTATCCTGAAGGAAGAGAGTAATCACAATACACACACAGTGATCACAGAAGTCACACAGCTGTAAGGAGTCTCCAGGAGAAGTATCTTTTGTTACAGAGTACAGTTTAAGAATGTCCTATGGAAGACAACTTTTCTTTATATGCTTTCTATGTGTAAACAATTATTCCAAGAAACAAGTCCCTACTCACCCCCCTTCCTTCCTACATTGCCTCAAGAATACTTAACTGTGTTAAGTGAAATTGGATACAAATAACACAGTTTATGAAGCTACAATGGCAAAAGAAACCATTGAAGAAACAAGAATTTGTGAACATTTATTACATAGGCCAGGCAATTGCCAACAAGCATTCAAAGCTTAAATGATGGTACTAATTTGAGAATTTCCAGCATCTTAAAAAAACAACAACAACAACAACAAAAAACATAGAACTAACTACTCTAGAACCTCTGAAAGTAACTAGTGTAGAAAAGGAAAGGGAGTCTGAAGCCTTCCTTTACTGTTTCCTGGACAGTATCATTTAATTTTGCCAGAGGGCACATATGCTTGCCAGCTAAGAGACAGAGGAAGAAAGCACCTCCCAGGAAGGTGTGGTCACAGTACAATCCCTTCTCCGCATCTCCATCCTGGTGGGATTTTGGACACACACATACACACACACACCTCCTCATTTCTCTATTCTGGTGGGATTTTGGACACAAACCTAGCATGTCCCTTAAGCCCCTACGGCCAGGATCCAACCACAGGGATGTCCATGTGGGATCTGTCTCCCTTAAGCACTAAGCAACAGCTGGCCCTGGTACACTTTAAATAGAACTCTGCCTCACTTAGCTTTACTTACTTTCACTCTGTAAGTTAATGTTTCCAACTCACTTAACAATTCCCCATTTATATCACCTAGAATACAGAGAACGCCTATTCTTTATAAACATCTGCAACCAATTAATAAACTAAATTTCAAAACACTTAGATTTTAATTATAGAGAAGGAAATTATTTAGAAAAAAATTCTTCTTTAAGGAAATTACACATCACTTTATTTCTGTGATATACAATTATGAGAAGATAATATTCCTCTTCAGAATTCAAACATATTGCCAAAGCTATTTACAAGTCTTTCAGGTGCAGTTCAGCAACACAGGACAAGGAAAACTGCTGAGCGGGTATCACAGGGCAGGGTCAGTCACTTAGCAGCTCTCCTTCCCAACAGACACAATGAAATCAGCTTAACTTCTGAAAACATTTTCATAAAGCAATACCCAAAGTGGTGAGTATCTTGTAACATCTCCCTGAAATATGAGTAGTAATGGAAGTACTCACTTGACAGACGATTCAATCTCCAGAGATAGGTAGAAGTCTCTGGGACATTTTAAGGCAGTAGCTTTAACTTCCTCGACCACAACTCACAGTACAACAGTAATTTAAAAAATAATTGTTCACATCAGAATATATTATATAAACATATATACCTACAAATGTATATGCAAATGTAATTAAGTTACACAAAATAATACTCTTATTTTCAGTTCTTTACTAATTCTTCCCTTTTCATTTTCTTAAACATTAGTCATGGCCATTAAACTGATTTCATGTGAAGAGCTACGACCCAAAGTGTGTAAAACACTGTCTGGGCCAGTGTACTCCCAGAAATGTGACAGATCCCCAAGTGCCCAGGAGGTCTGGGATTCCTTGGCTATGTCTCCAAAGCACCCCCCAACCCTGGGGTGAGGTGGGGGAGAAGGAAAAGCTCAACACATACAGACCCAGACCCTGCCACATAAACTAATGTTTCTAGGCATTATCCTGGGATTTTATTTAAGAACAAATCTAGAGGCTTGGGGGAAAAAAGGTTAGGATTTAAAAAAAAAAAATTAAAAGTTTCAATTCAAGATGACATTTTAGTACCCCTTCCAATGTAGGGAGTCTGAAATAATCACTCCAAACTATAAAATAACCCACACATTTATGTCACTATCAAAACCATAGCTTAAGATCACAAAAACTTTTAATATTGATCATTCAAAACGGTATGATAGGCTTTTTCAACATACTGCTTGATTAAAAGTGCTGAAAGCTGCTCAGCTTTCCTTCAAATGCCCTCCCTATTCTGTAGAAACGATTTCTTAGACTTCTCCCTTACTAACAGTACATTCTGCTCATAGTTCTTACTAATGAAGCCACGTTAACATTTGCTAAATATGTTACCAAGTAAATAAGCTAAGCTATGTGAACTACTAGATTCCTTAGCGACCAGTATGAACAAACTGGTGTAGCTAAACCAAGAGCTCAGCAGCTTTCTTTATTCATAAACACATGTATCTTCCCACTGGAATTACCTCCAGCCAAAATATACCGAGTCGGGTGCATGGCATTGATGGAACACACAGAGACAAGGCATTCTCCACCAAGAAAAGAATGCACCCGCTTTCCTGTCTCATGGAAGATTTCTACCCGGCGTGGATAGGCCATGCTGCCAACTATGACACAGTCTTCTTGTTTAGGGTCCCACACAGCTTGGAACCTGGTCAGCCATCGCCCAGTGATAGTGTTGTGCCTAGTGAAAAAAAAACAGTAACAGGAAGTTTAAATAACTCAAGGAAGCCCTGAGCAGAGAGAGGAGACAGGGCACTGCTCCTAAATGCTAGTTTTCTCTGCCGAGTCTCTTCTCATTAGCGACTCATTGTAGAGTTACTAACAACCTTATCTCATCCTCCCTACAAGACTGAAACTCAAGACGGAAAGGATGTTTCCTTCACCCTTGAATCTCCAGTGCTGAGCACAGTGATTTATGCTCAACAGTCATTCATAAGTATCTACTGAAATGGTACTTTTTTGTTTGTTTGCGATAGGGCACATGCGCTCGCCAGAAAGATAAAAACAGACAGTGAGAAATCACCCCCCCGGGGGGATGGCCACGCCGCAATCCCTTCTCCTCTCAGGATCTTGGGCATGCATGCACACGCGCCTGGCATGAGTTTAAGTCATCGGGTGTGGGACTCGAACCATGGTCGACTACATGAGAGTCCAGTGATATAGCCATTACGCCATCTGCTGGCCCCAAATCACCACTTTCTTAGAAGCACAACCAAACAGAAGCACTAAAAATAAAAAATCTATAATGTAGGTTATTTCTTAATGTTTTAAGCAGAATATTCTATTTATATTCCTCTGATAACAGAACTAGAAAACATTTTATATTCCATACAACTTTAAAATAAAGAATACATTAGAATTCAAAGAAAAAAATCACAAGGGAAATTAGAAAACATTTGGAGATGAATGAAAACTTACCAGAAGTAGCAAAAGCAATACGAGGAAAGGTGAGAATGATTAACTCTTACACCATTAACATTTTAAAATTGTGTATATTTGGGGCCAGCAGGTGGCATGGTGGTTAAGGGCACTGGACTCCTACATGGCTGACTGCAGTTCGAGTCCCGGACCTAGAGGCTTGCTTTCTCACTTTCCCTCTCTCTCTCATTCTGTCCCTCTCTGGTCAAATTAAAATAAATAAATAAATAAAGTTAAATAAAAATAATTCTTTTTTTAAAAAAAGAATAAATAAGTAAATATAACCATGGGTATAGGGGCCAGCAGGTAGCAGGGTGGTTAAGGGGGTGGATTCCCACATGGCTGACCAGTCCTTGACCCTGTAGCTTGAAAATCATACTAGGCACGTATGCATGCATACCCTAAAATCCCAAGAGAATGGAAAAGGGATCACAGCATGGACACGCACCTTGTGGGGTGGTGATTTCTCACTTTCCCTCTCTGTCTGTCTGTCTCTTTCTCTCTCTCTCTCTCTCTCTCTCTCCCCCTCTCTCTCTCTCTCCAGCAAGCACAAGCACACTATGGCAAAATTTTAAAAAATAAAGTAAGGATTATGAGTATGAAAAAATCACACACCCTGTCCTCAATTTTGTAAATACCAATAAAGTGGGATATTTAGGGAGAAGGCACTGGGGAAAAAAAAAAAAAGGGTAATGTAAAGGGACCAGCAAGTTGCATGGCATGGTGGTTAAGGCACTGGACTCTACATGGGCGACTGTGGTTTGAGTCCCGAATCTGGTGGCTAGAAACTATACTGGGCATGTGTGTGTGCATGACTAAAATCCCAGGAGAATGGAGGAGAAAGGATTGTGGCGTAGCCATCCCCCAAGGGGCAATTTCTCACTTTTCCTCTCTCTGTCTCTGTCTCTCTGGTGAGTACAAGCAGTCTATGACAGAACCTTAAAAAAAAAAGTTCATGTAAAATACACTCATACGCAGTAGATGCAAAAAGAAAGTAATCAAAGAAGTGAAATGAGGGAAGGTGGAGATGCCCTCTAAGTCCAGAATAAACTAGCACAAATAGCTTCTGATAGCATTAACAGCAAGTGAGTGGTTACAGTCCTCTTCAATAAAATAACACAAGTAATTTGAATCAGAACAAAGTCATTAAACCTTAACCAACAACAACTAAAAAGCCTTAACCCGGAAGCAAGAACACTGGGTAGGAACTAGCAAACTGGGACACTCACACAGTAATGAGCGATAAGTAATGAGGCCTAGTACATCTCACTGATGACCAGATGTCTAACATATGCCTCCCAGCATGCAGCTTACAGGTCCAGGTTCTACGTTATTTGGCGTATGGAAGCCTACCTGATGGTGGTAAGGAGAGGCATCTGGGAGGATAAACAACTGCTATCGAAGATTCTGCAAAACAGAAATCAGGCGGTAACATATTCTTTTTATTGTTCTTTAAAATTTTTCTAAAATAGCGTATTTAACAAGCTTCTCATTGGATTGTGATATGAATTATGACTGATACTTAAAAATATGCAGAATTGTGCTCTAACAAACCTCAGCTATTATATTTAATAAAAGGTACAAGGATTATTAGAAAATTCAGAGTTCATGGTATACTGTGGAAATAATTTATTTAAGCACTGTTACTCCAAACTTAAAGTGTACATTCTAAAGTGATCATCTGTACTCTATATTTAGATTCACAATAACATGGGGCATCCACGGGGATGTGGTCTGAAAATGCACAAGCTAAAACTGTATGCCTCAAGAGCAATTTCTCTCCGACAATCACCCGGCGAGGCCCTGACAGTATCGTCTGCAGGTGTTGCGGACACTGAGCTCAGCCAGCGACCAAGGAGAGGAGTTCTTACGGAGCAGCTAGAGAGGTGTTCCGTAGCCTCCACTGGGTGCCCCCACAGAAGGAAACTAACCACATCACTAACTTCCCCCTCCTGTGCCAAGCTGTTGAAGTGCGGTTTCTTGGCACTAGAGCCTCTTGTCTCAATATTCATAGATTATTATTATATTACATCATCAGAAAAGTCATATTTTTCAATGTTTTTCTATGCAAAAATGCATCATGACTTTCTATGTGACCCAATAGAAAGCCAAATCACTAACGCTTAATGTAACAAGAGTAAACTCTGCAGTGTAAAGGAACAAGAAAAGGACAAACATGTACCTCCTGAGACAGTGAGAACCCCATGAGTGGAAAGGGGACTCTGGGCTGCCATTCCCTCATTATTACCTCTCTTACTACATCACCTGGTAATGCTGACTTTCTAGAAACTAACTGGGCACCTGACAACACAGCAGACTATGCTCTTCCCAATAGGCAGGTTCAAGCAGAAATTAGATGCCTTTCTAGATCTTGGCCTACATGGTATATTCAACATACACTTGCTGAATGCATAATGAATGAATTCCAAAATCTTACTTAAGGTAAAACTGTCAAAAACTGAGAAACGTTTGCAATTTTAAACAAAATTGGGGACTTGAGAACAAAAGCATTATCCATTGTGTGTGCACTAACATTTCCCACTTTTTTTTCTTTTAGTTTTACTCTAAGGCATGCATGCTCACTGGAGAGAGACAGAGAAAGAAGAAAGTGAGAAATCACCTACTAAGGGGAATGGCCACACTGCAATCCCTTCTCCTGCATTCTCCTCTTGGGATTTTTGCACACACATAGACCTAGTGTGTTTTCAAGCCTCTGGGTCTAGGATTCAAACCATGCAGTCGGCCATGTGAGATCTTAACCTCCCCATCGCCTGCTGCCCCCCGACATCTTTTTTAATTGAAATCATTTTCTGGGTTTGGTTAAACTGTTTTATATTTCAAAATCCATTTTTAGTTAGTAGCTATAGAAAGGTACCAAAGTTAGAACCCTTGAACCATAAAACCATATACAATAGTTTTTATAGAAGCCCCATTTTTGCCGTTTTCTGCCAGCCCACGGTCTTGGGCTCCGCAATCTCCATTCACCGCTCTACTTACAGGGTAGACCCCAGTGTGTTCCCAAAGTAACAGCTTCTTCCTAGGCTAAAATTATCTACTTTCCAAGATCCCTCACAGTATGGTTTCATTGAGATTTCTGGAACTCTTCAGTGCTGAAAAGGGAAGCCTGACCACTGATTTGCCAGGCAAGCAACAGACCTCCTCTGCTAATCTCAAGGAAATTTCTAGGACCCAATGTGAAGTCATTACGTACAGATCATTGGTCTTTGGGAACTTAGATATGAACTACAAAACAATAACAGCAGCTCCTGGGGCCAGCAGATGGCACAGCAGTTACATTGCTGGATTCCCACATGGCCAACCACAGTTAAGTCCCACACCCGGTGGCTTGAAAAGCATTCCAGGCACGTATGCTTGTGTGTCCAAGATCCTGGGAGAAGAACGGAGGAGAAGGGATTGCAGCATGGCCATCCCCCCCCAGGGGGTGATTTCTCACTTTCTCTCTCACTGTCTCTGTTTTTGTCTCTCTCTGGGGAGCTTGTGTACCCTAAGGCAAAAACCTCTAAAAAAGAAATAAGTAACAGCAGCTACTAAATAGGGAACAGCAATGAACAATGCTTCTGATTTACTAACATGTTTAAATTCCTTATAAACTTATTTCTGGGGGCTGGCAGGAGGCGTGGTGGTTTAGAGCACTGTATTCCCACACGGTTCGAATCTAGGACCTGGCAGCTTACTTTCTCACTTTCCCTCTCACTCTGTCCTTCTCTGGTCATACTAAAAATAAATAAAGTTAAATAAAACAATTCTTAAAAGAAAAAATATTTCTGCCTTTCCAAATTACCTCAGATTACAATCAGCACATGTGGTTACCACTCTGTTACCAGTAAGAGGTGAAAAATAGGCAGATGCAATGCTCTTCGTATGTTCAGTTAAAGAAATCAAAGGCTGGCTTCCCTTGGGCTTCAGGTGCCTTGCATCATAAACATGAACATCCCTGAAACAAGAGGAATAATTACCAGTGCTGCCAAAGTATGTGTAGTGAGCTTCTAAAATAGAGCTGAATATAAGTTATACACTCAAACACTTGCTACATAGAAGAATATATAAAATAACATCCTCTAATCTTCAGTATTTTACAAACACTGATATAGATGAAAAGAAAAATATTAGAAAAATTCCAAAATTAGTGGCCAGCAGGGGTGTGGTGGTTAGGGGTACTGGACTCCTACATGGTTAAAATCATGTTCAAGTCCCAGACCTGGGGACTTGTTTTCTCACTTTCCCTCTCTCTATCTCTCCCACCACCCCCCTCTTTTCTCTCTCTGGTCAAATTTAAATAAATAAATAAATAAATAAATAAATAGAGTGAGGGGGCCAGAAGGTGGCATGGTGGTTAAGGGCACTGGACTCCCACATAGCCAACCATGGTTCGAGTCCCAGACCTGGTGGTTTGTTATCTCTCTCTCTCTCTCTCTGTCCCTCTCTGGTCAAATTAAATAAATAAAGTTAAATAATTTTTTAATTTCCAAAACTGGGGCCAGCAGGTGGATGGTGGTTAAGGTGCTGGACTCCCACATGGTCGACCATGGTTCAAGTCCCAGACCTGGAGGCTTGCTTTCTCATTTTCTCTTTTTCTCTCTCTCTAATAAAATTTTAAAATAATAATAATAAAATTAAATAAATAATCCTTGGGGGAAAAAAAGAAAAATTCCAAAACTATAGCAAATATTCATTCTAGTTGGTTTTCTAATCTCTGAAAAAAAATATTAACACAGACCAACAACTCATAGGTTAAATATAACTTTTTTTTTCAATTTTACATTTTCTTCTCATAAGACTTGAAGTGAACTTGGTGGTGTGGTAGTTGAGGTGCTGGACTCCCACATGGCCGACCATGGTTCAAATCTCAGACCCGGTAGCTTAAAAATCATACTGGGTGCATGTGCATATGTGCCCAAAATCCCAGGAAGAGAATGGAGGAAAAGGGACTGCCATGTGGCCCTCCCCATCCATGCTCACTCTCGGGAGTGATTTCACACTTCCCCACTCACTCTCTGTCTCTCTCTCTCCAGTGACATACACACCCTATGACAAAAATGTTAAAATTAATGAAATAAATAAAAATTTTAAAAGACTAGACATGAATGCCTACAATGTCAAGGAACATAAAATTTGTATTTCTTTAAATATTTTCACTATTTATTAAATCTGAAAGAATTTCTCATATAAAAAAAATACCCACACTCGAAAAAGCCCTATCAACACAGAAAGGAAAATTATCTGGCCTTCATGTATTACAAAAGTCAGATGTCATTAGGGACCAGCAATTAGCGTAATGGCTATGTCGCTGGACTCCCACGTAGTCGACCGCAGTTCACGTCCCGGACCCGGTGGCTTAAAACTCACGCCAGGCGCATGTGTGTGCGTGCCCAAGATCTCAAGAGGAGAACGGAGGAGAAGGGACTGCGGCGTGGCCATCCCCCCCGGGGGGGGGGATTTCTCACTTTCTGTCTCTCTGTCTCTGTCTGGCAAGTGCACGCGCCCTATAGCAAAAACCTCTCAAAAAAAAAAAAGTCAGATGTCATTGAAAACCAAATTAAACCATGTATTCATGACATTAAAATGCATAAATCGGGCTAGATGGTAGAACAGAAGTAAGACAAAAGACATTCTGTGAGCCACATACGAAGGTTCAAGTTCAAGTCTGGAGACCTAAGTACACCAGGTATGCACTTGCCTGTGACCTGAGGCTGGCTGAAGGCTGGGGTAGACTGAAGCATCAGAACCCTCTTGGGAGAGCTGTCTCCCTCCCTCTGTCTCTTTCTGTCTCTCTTGCTCATGGAAGAAATAAACAAAAAGCATAAATCATAAAGTTTTATGAACATACCTCAATCCTGCTGTGATAAAATACTGTCTGTGTACTGGGTGAACATGAACAGTTCTTAATTTTATCAAAGAAGAGCTGGTAAGTTTTTCGTAAGAAGTTCCAGGTGTTCGTCTGTCTATCAGTGCCACATTTCCATCCCAGTGTCCCACTATTAAAGTGGAAGCATCTTCCGCCAAGAAGTCAAAGGAGGAACAGCTACTGCTTTCATTTCTATACACCTAAGGACACAAATACTAATCAGCTTATACAATGTTCTTCTTTTAAAGAACTCCAATGCAAATGTAAAAAGGTAATAAAACACTTTACCCAAAAAATTCTCATTTATCTTTCCACCATCCCCACTGAAAGCACAAGGCAAAACAAAAACAAAGGCAGTGATAGTTATGGTACTTGCCCACAATCAGATGGCCAAGCCATGCATGTCACTACACCCCAAATCTCTTAAACTAATTAAATCTCAGTTTTAGCTTGTGCCCGGAATGTTTCACAGGTGCCAGGGCCAGGACTTGTACCCCATCAGTCAAGTAGAATGTGGTTCTCTTAACTACTACGTTACAGGTCCCAATAATTTCACTAAAACATATAAGGATGTTTGCTGCAAGAATGGTTACAATAGCAATAACAGGAAAATTAAATATCCAGCAAGAAACATCAAGTTAAACAGGGCAAGCCAGTGGCATAACTGTTAAGGCAGCTAGATCTCACATGGCCTGACGGCTTAAAAAACTTGTCAGATATGTGTGCATTCATGCTCAAAATCCTGAAAATGGAGAAGGAACTGTGGCATAGGCATACCCCATGGGGGGTACTTTCTCGCTTTTCCTCTCACTCTTCCACCACTCCACAAATTAAGAAAAGGAAAAAATAGTAAAGAAACAATAAACAGTATACAACACTAAAATGAATATGGTAATTTTTTATTGATAAAAAAACATACTATTGGGGCCAGCAGGTGGCATGGTTGTTAGGGGTACTGGACTCCCTCATGGCTGACCGTGATTTGAGTCCCAGACCTGGCAGCTTGCTTTCTCATTCTCTCTCTCTCTGGTCAAAATTTAAAAATAAAGTTAAAAAAATAACTCTTTTTTAAAAATCTGAAAAAAGAAAAAAAGACATACTACTAAGTAAAAAAAAAAAACACGTTGTGAGAGGCTATGAATATGACTCCATTACAGTAAAGGGGGGAAAAATGACTCTATATATGCTTATAAGTATGTGTACACTTTCCAGAAGCATATTCAAAATACCCAAAAATGGTTACTTTTGGGGGTCAGCAAGTGGCGTGGTGACTGGGGCGCTGGACTCCCATATGGCCAATCGCAGTTCAAGACCTGGGCCTGGTGGCCTGCTTTCTCTCTCTCTGGTCAAACTGAATAATGATAATAATAAATGAAGTTAAATAAATAAATCTTTTTTTTAAAAAAAGGTTACTTCTGGAGACTGGGAAGAAGATACCTTTACTTTGCACATCCTATTTATTATGAATATTTTACCATGAGCATGTTATTGTTGTTATAATTTTTAAATCACATTTAATTCATTTTGAGTTCAGGGGTCACAAACATAAAGGACAAAAATTAAATACTGCTACATCTATCAGATAAGAGAAAATAACCACAATTTTTACCATTTAAGCAAGAATTGCTCATTTTTAATTTTATTAAAAAGTATTATTGGGGAACCAGCAGTTAGCGTAATGGCTATGTCGCTGGACTCCCACGTAGTTGACCGCGGTTCGTGTCCCGGACCCGGTGGCCTAAAACTCACGCCGGGCGCCTGTGCGTGTGTGCCCAAGATCCCAAGAGGAGAATGGAGGAGAAGGGATTGCGGTGTGACCATCCCCCCT